ATTGTATAGACTTTAAAAATGTTGCAGTCTTAGTTGATGGCCTCATATTTTGAGCCTTGCTATAAAACTTCATGCTTAACGAGGCTTTAAAAACTGACTTATTTCATTAGCATATAATTAGTTGAAAGTGTTGCTGAGCATTTATTGTAGCTGATGGAAAGTAATAAATGAGTGATTTTTTTTCCATGAAAATTGACTTCACAGAGTAGTATAATAAGTTGGAATTACATATTAGCAACTTTACAAAGGGATTATAGTTTTTAATTAGAACTTACAGAATTATTATAGAATTATAGGATGATTATGGAATTATTCAATAAAGTCACCCTATGATTCCTGACATTTGTGTAATAAGGTACATAAATAAGATTTTCCCAGAGTTCTAAAGATAATTCAGTACACAAAGTTGCTCAGTAAAATAACCAGGTCAAAAGCCAAGCACCTGAATTTTCATTAGTTTTTATTCCTGCCTAAAAATATACATTAAGCTCATATCACAATCTATTTACTTAGGTGTTTATTAATATACATTAAGCTCATATCACAATCTATTTACTTAAATGTTTACTATGGTATATATTTATTTGCATAAATTCTATAATAGATATGATTCTAATCAATAATGAAATATTTTATGAGATATAAAAGATAGCATAGGGCTGGGGATTTAGCTCAGCGGCAAAAGAGCCTGCCTGGCAAGCGCATGGTCATGAGTTCGGTTCCCGGTACCAGAGAAAAACCAAAAAACAAATAAAAATAAAAAAATAAAAGATAGCATAGCATTTCTTTTTATGCTTATCATTATTAATATTAATATTAACTCATATTAATTGTATAAATTTGTGGGTTTCACTGTGACATTTCCATGTATGACATCAGAGCCTTTCTTCATCACAACATAGCTTCCTAGCATGAACCTATTCTGACCATAAAAACCTAATGATTATTATGTTTCAATCACATTTGGTGCCTGGGATGATGTAATGCACATTCACCTTTCCTACATGACTTCATAGGGTTTGTGTATAACTCAGACTTGTTGACATTTTGCAATATTATCCGGGTAGGGCAAGCAAAGGGAGTCAGTTGCTTGTATCTTCTTAAATTCACAAATACTCATTTTAAAGTCATGTCTTCAAATCTCAAGGTGTGCTTCTTTGCTCCCTGTGTGACCCTACTTCCTTAGTGGCCTTTGAACTCTTATGGGATAGAATAAGAAAGGAACTAAAAGAGGAATGGAAAATTTTTGATGGAATGAGAAAGATGATTTGAACATAATAATATCAAATAAAGATGTCAGGATGAGGGAAAGAACAAAATACTGGCTCCTGACGTCTCTCCTAAAAGTGACTTTTTCTAAGAATTGTGTATATCATGCCTGTCATAAACATTCAACTTCATTGTGCAACGAAGACAGATGACAAGAATTTGCTGCTCCAACAACTCAAAAAAACCTACTCCCCAATGTCCTTGGAATCTGACTTCTTCAGTTCCAAATGCGCAGTGGAAAACTTGTGCCTGGAAGGGCTGGGGCAGTTGTTTATGTAACTAATTGGACATCTACATAAATAAGAGAATTGGGGCAGGTCTCTGTCTTCTCATCTGTTGTAAGCCAGAGCTTACTCGGAAGTGAGGAGGCGCGCAGAATGAAGAACCACGTAGTTGTCCTTCGGTGACTCTCTTACATAAGCTTTAAGGTCATGACGTTTTCTCCGTTTTGTTTCCAAGTAGCAGGAGAAAAAAGACAAGTTTTCAGAGTCACTTATCAGGGAGGAAAAGGGCTTTGAAAAATTTGAGGTTCGAAGAGATATTTTGTAAGTCTAACAACAATGGGAGATGTGAAGAAGAGATTGAAGACAGAGGAATTGGCCAAGAAATTACCTCAGGAAAGAAGATAAACACCATTGACAGAGAGCTGACAATTGCCAGAAGGGATATATCCTGCTCAGAGACTATGGAGATAAGTGAGCCTTCAAGGAGACTGCAGAGAGAAATTTTGACATTGAGAAACAGGAAGTGGAGGGAATTCAGATATCTCATCAGCAAATTAGAAGAAATGTCTCCTTCAGAGCAAGAATGGATAGAACTTGAGTTTGAGAGTGGCTTGACCTAGCCTGAGTGAGGAATTCGAGGAAGAGCTAAAAAATGAATGAAGGGTGACCACATCATTGTAGGGAGCCTCTGTGGTAATATAGAATCATAGTGGGGACATAACAATGTTCTGTTTAGAAATCTTGGAGACAGGCAATGGTTAGTGGTCACTATATCTGAGGAGGCCCTTTATGAATCTAACAGAAGCTGTTACATTCAGGTAGATAGAGAAAATACACAGCCAAGATATTATTGCCACATACTGGTTTATGGAAGCCAATGAGGCCAGAGAGAAAGAATTTTATATTTCCACAGTAATATCCTAGTAACCCTTATCTGACCTAGAAGTGCCATCTGTAATTATAGCAAAGACTTTGGATAATCCTCAGGACCACCTTTGCAGATGCTGACTCAGCAGAGCAATGTGGTTGTAGTTTGAAAGCATACTCTAGCACTGCTACACAGTGGGGATGAAGGTGAGTGAATATGAGGAGGTAAAAAAACCAGATCACTGTGTTGGTGCCTGCAAATGCTGATGCCAAGGTGTGGCAATGTCTTTGACTCCAGGTCTGCAAAGACCTACCAAAGTTCAACAAATGCTCTTGCTCTCCCATGTTAGTCTTCAGATTAAGAAAATAGAGGCTGCTAGCTAGCTTTTGGGTTATAACTACTTCCTTACAATCATTCTTCCCACAAACCTTTGAAAACCTAATTCATGAGTCTCAAAATCTCACCTAGTATCTGGTATATATGTAGATGTTCAAAAAACATCCACAGAATGAATTAGTGAATGAATGAATGAATGAATGAATGAATGAAGAAAGAAGCTAAGCTATGAGCCGCTTTTCTCTAGAATATACTGTCTTTGGGTTTTGAAGTCTCTGTGACCTTCTCCTATTCCTATTCCACCCAGCATATACATTTGGAAAGACACATCAATGCAGCCAGTTCTATAAACACAAATATTTTGTACTGGTCCTTATAGGCAAGATCCACTTCTTCCCACCTGGTCTGCCCTGGATCCTCATTTTTGATCTTCTGGTGCCTGGACTATAGTCATATACTCAACTGGTTTTGCCTCGTGTAACAACTGTGGAAAAAATAATAGCAAGGGCAATAACTATGTTGAATAGGAGATGCTAAATAAATAAAAAGAAGGCTGCACACATATGATCCTTGTATTGTGACAGTCTAAACCTAAAATCACCAGTCCTACTAGATAGAAGTCACAGTTTTTCCTGCCTTGCAACAGCTGATTACCAAGATTACTAATCCATTCAACATCTTCGTGTGAGTTAATGGAAGATGTCCCCTTCAGAGGCAAGGGCAGTAACACCAGTACACAGCAAGGTGCGGCAAACAGGAGCTGTGTCTCAGTTACCACTCGACCATTTGGGCAGTAACAGCCCTCATACCTGCATTCTTTATCCCTGATGGTTATATACTCTCTGAAGGCTAGGTCTCCACTACTAAGCTAAGAACCACAATTCCATTCTAAAAGTAATATGCCAGATTCCTGGTCCACATTGTGCCTTGGTAATAATTAGGAGACTTAGGAGATCTAGTCCAAAGTGTGCAGGGTGTGCTGCTGTTAAATGTTTGCTTGCTCCAAATTTGTCCCTTTCCCCTTCAGTTAGCTAAATTCACAGAATAATTTTACAAATGCAAAAGACTTTCCTGCTGTGCATGGGCGAGTTCTGCCAGTCTCTTCATTTCTATCTTTGCTGTTCAGTTCTAGCAAGTAGAAGATTCACGTGTGTTAGGTTCACCTTTCCAAACGGTACACCAGTCCCGTACGAATTTCCCTTCATCCCTCACCAGTCAAGTCTACATTTCCAGGGTTTTTCTCAATGCAGCCACAATGAATCAGGCAGTAACTCATACAGTAACAGTGAGACAGCTTGAGTAAACCATGGGTGGGTCGTCCTACCTCATCACACCAGCTGGATCTCAGAGTGACAATGTTCAGATGTTTACAGGGCTGTCACAGTTGGGGATAGTGTGGGGCTGAGGGAAGGTTATGACTGCTAAAACCCAAAACTATATTTTCTGAGCATGATTTGTTTCCAAACCAAGAAAATTGGCTTCCTGGATTTGGCTGAAGAAGCATGTTGATTTCCTTTCAGACAAAGGCAGGGGAGGATGAATATGGCATGGACAGAAGGGTGGAATTCACTGAGTGGAGGCTTGCTTTTAGATTAGCACCTTCAGTGAAGTTGACCTCTCTCTTCTACTTTTGCCGTGGGAGTAATTTACCAAATGTTCAAAAGACATCTGTGAGGCTAGACTTACCTCTGTGGCAAGACCTCATATGTGTCTTTCCTTGAGAAAGATAAACTTTCCAGTTAAGGAAGCATTAGCTGGCTATTTCTTCCTTGTTACTCTTGCAGGATAAGATGCAGCTCATATCTGCCAAATGTCAGCCAAGACTCAACTCCCATTCCTGACCAGTAACCACAGTCCCTCCCACTCAGGCATGTGTAGACAAGATATGGTGAGTCTTGCTCACCGCTTGTATTGGATCATGACAATAATGGCCTCTGTAAGCCTATGGCCTTAGCTTTCAACGAGGAAGTCAGTAAGAAATAAGTAAAGGGGTCTAGTGAGGAGCCCCCTGTGGCCTCCCCTATTTATAAAATCTGTAACATATGTTGACTAGGTCCAAAAATCCTGTCTTTGCCCCAAACTTATAAGGTTCCAGCTTCTAGGGCCACAGGGGAAGGAGCAGTTGTTGTGATAAAGTCAGGATTTAGCCCTGATCACTGAGGCATTCAGGGCCTCTTTTCTCTGTGTGTGTTCTCTCCAGGGCTCCAGGCAGCCATAGAGAGAGCCATGGCTGCTCCCAGACTGACAGCTCAGGCAGTCTCATCGTGTAGAAATGAAGTAAATGACTTAATTTTTTCCCCCAGGAGAATATATTGATGAGCACGGTCGCTGCCAGGTCTGTGATGCTTCGTGTGCCAAGTGCCGGGGGCCAACCCAGGAAGAGTGTACCAGCTGCTTCATCACAAGGTGAGCGGCCTCTCTGTGTCTCCTGGGGATAGGAGTCCTGGGTTACAGGTGGAGAGAGAAGGTGCTAACCACCTCAGCACACCGAGTGGGCCTGTGGGAAACAGAGCCACTTTCCTATGACAGATATTCTCCTTGGTCTGGCCACAGCCCACCTCTGTAGCAGCCTCTCCCCATGACACCCACTACCCTCTGCGAGGAACAGTTTCCTGGACACTGGGAGGCCTTTCTCATCAATGAAGATGGTGCTTCCATTCCATTCTGCACATTCATCTCTCAACCACCACTTTCACCTGCTGGGCAAATGTCTCCTCATTTTTAGAATCAAATCAAGGGTAAACTGTCTCTGAAACCATTTATGACCTCCTGCCAGTACCATTGACCTTCCTCCTTTATGCTTCTTTGCTTCATAGAAGCTTCCCCCAGAGCACTAGTACCTTCAAAGATGTTTGCTCACAAGTACCTTTCTTTATGAGACCACGAGCTCCTTGAGATGCTCACCTTTGTATCTCCTGTACTTACCACAGTACTAATAAAAACAGTAGGCATTCAATAACTAACTATTGAGTGAGAATGGGAATAGGACACATGTGCATGCTGTAAGCTAACACACTGGGCATTCCTAATAAAAAAGTGTGGGGGTCCTGCTGTGATTTTGGCCAATGCTTCTCTAATTCTACTGCTTAATATTTGTTGGCTGCTGGGAGTTTGAATGAATGACCTTGCCACCACTCAGCTAAAGGTGTAGGAAGCAGATCTCTCTGCAGACCAGTGGGATGAGGCTGCTGCAGTGATGAGGGCTTTGCATTTCTGCAATGGACATTCCCTCTGTTTCGCACAGTAGTTGTTTTGTCCTAGTTCTTCCCTGGGCCTATCCTTGCAAGCAGGTACTATGATGTTTGTCCTTTTATTCCCCCAAAATAACCTGTTTTATTGAATTGGATAAGTGTATAATCCTATACATGTGCCAGCTACCTACAGCCATTATATGACTCAAACATGAACTAAAAAAAATTGGTAACAATAGCAAGGAAAATGGGGAAAGAGGATCCAGAGGTGGGAGTAGGGTGGGGAGGGGAAAGGCAATGAGAAGAATGAAGATATGTTAAATATAGCGCATAACCCCCAAGAAGAATGTGAACATCTTATACTACAAGCACATACTAATAAAAAAAGAATAGCCCACATTCAATTGAGAAGTGTATTGGGCTTGGCCTGAAGGAGAAGCATTACTGTAAGCTTGAATTTGCATTTTCTTTTTATCATGAGCACGTGTAGCTTTGGTAATGAAAATACATAGGCAAGTGCAGAAAATAAGAACAGAAATAGTGGGGAATCTTTAATATCCTATCTCTGAAGTAAGAAATGGGCCCATGGAAGAGAAGACACCTAGCAGTGGTGGGAGCTGTAAAAGACAGAACTTCTGCCCTGCCCTAGACATAGGGAGCAGCTTGCAGCAGGGGCTGATAAATAGCCCCAGTCTCTTCCTCCCTGCATGCAGATCTCCAACAGGTGTTTCCTCTTGTCTGAAACTAACTGGAGGCCAATGGGAAATACAACTCACAGCTGAGGATAAGTGGGCTCGAGATGTAATATGCACTGAGTTCACCTGCAGGACACAGTAAACAACAGGACAGAGAGTGGTAGAAAGTGAATCTGGGCTGGGGGGAAGGGGAGACAAACAAAATAATCAGGACAGTTGGTCTCACTTTGTTTTTTCCTGTTCTTAAGCCTTTGGATAGCTCAGATCCTGGTAAAATAATCTTCAAAGGGCTGTCATCTGGGAGAAGAATATTAACATTTATCTTGCAGGTTTGCTGCAAAATTATATGGGATGGAAGTAAATTGGTGGGAAGGTAGATGAAATAAGACTAGCCAGGGGTTGATAATTGTTAAAACTGAATGATGATTACATGGAGCAGGGCACTGATAAGTCTTTTATATATATGTATTATATGACTATATATGTTTACTATTGTATATGTTTAAATTTTTCCACAATGCATTTTTTATTTTTTGTTTACATTTTTAAAAATAAGGAAATTTAAACCTTAAGTTGTTTTATAGGAAATCACCTTTTGGGGAATAATCTCTCCATTCTGTAGTTTCCCCTGAGATTTCTATAAAACTGTGGATTTAGCTCCTCAAAGACAATTGAAAACTTGGAGGGATCAAATGTATCCAACATCCAAAGCTCTGAAATGCTGTGGTCCTCCTTTCCCGAACTCGTTGTCCAGCCCTGTACTGAAGGAGACATGAAGTCAATAAACCAATTAAAACCGTTTAAAAGTTACCTCTATTCTTACTCAGGTTTCAACATTTTAATTGATCTGTTTCAGTGAATTCAGAGAAAAATAAGACTTTTTACCAGACTTCATTCTGTTAGAACATTAAGGCACCAAGAAGGTACATTAAGTGCTGGTGTGATTACTCTAATTAGGCCATGACAACAGTCAGCGCAATCAGCTAACCCTGACTTGCTATCTCTTCCATGACAGTTCCCCCCCCCTCTCTCTCTCTCTCACACACACACACACACACACACACACCCGGGGGTTCTGGAATATTCAGAGCCCATACTGAGATCATGTCTGCCCAGCTGTTTACCACTCGGTTCTACCCTCTTCTTCTTTGCTTTGAGCTCTGTTGGACCTGGGATGCATCCCCATCTCTGAGGTCAAGAGCAAGCACGAGCAGGAAGAGAAGAGAAGCCCTTCCATAGAGACAGCTTGCCTAGGGGTCTCAGGAATCCATGTGTTGGATGATGGTGGTCCCAAAGATACCTTGACATTTTAAAGAACACTTTTATCAGCCCTATTTTCTAGTTTCATAGAGTGAAGTGTCATTTTTCTTCACTGGGAGAATCTGTTGCCTGTAGAAAACTGTGACACTTGAAACAGAACTTTTAGTATCTTGGCAGTTTCTCTTCAGAAGCCTGGAGTGTGTAGAGGCGTGATGTAATTCACTGCCTTTGCCTAGGTGTGCTTGTTATTCCTCTATCTCTTTAGAGAGATTCATACTCTTAAAAAATTGGGCACATCGTATAAATTTCCCTTAGAACACAGGAAGAGGGAAGTGTTAAGCACAATTATATGTTTGACACCCTTTTAAAATAAGTTCAGAACGGTGCCCCTTTCCGAATAAACTTGGAAACGTTATGCCTCCTATCTTCTCCCGTGTCTGGAACAGCATCAGTGGTTCCCGTTGGCAGTATTAGGTTTCCACTCCCAAGACAAACAATCTCCCCCAGACCAATCTATCATCTCTTCCCTAAGGACAGAATGGCGTTGCCCTTCACTTCCCCTTCTCAACTAAATTTAGCAAGGAAATGGACCCCTAGAATAAACTCACCCCTTGCTTCTTTTCTGGAGGACATTGAGTAGCTTCCTTGTTTCAAATCCTGCTCTTATGCAGTCTTCTCTACAGGAAGGTTTTGGAGTTTTGATGTTGTTTTTAAAACTAGCCTCTCTCCAAGCTATTTCTTGAAAAATTTTCTAACTCAGAAGCCAGGCTGGGATATTCTCCATTGGCACTGATGCAAAAGCTAAAAATCTAAGCAGGGAGAACAGGAACCCCATTCAACATCATGATGCCGGAGACCTCACACATCTGGCTTTGACAGGAACAACCAGATTATGTGACTCTCTGCCTGGGGCTGGGGCCCTGTGCTCTGCAGGGGGCTGAAAGAATTGTTTGCTCCACTATGCTGTGTCTAGTGACCGGTGTCTGATGGGCTGGGGCTCCTGAAATAAGTTGGCCTTGTGTGTTAGGTTGTTGACTTGAATTCCTTTTTGTTTCCAAACCGATGGAAATGGCATAGACTTTCAGGATGCGGGAATGAACTAGATGGAAAACTGCACGTGAATTACTATTCAGGATGCCTCTACACCACCCCATGTGGCCCACCTTCCATCCAAGCAGGGTTGGCTCCAGCTCTGGAAAGTGGAGTTTAGACAAACTTAGGCCAACCTAGGAACAAGTTGCTCCCGGCCTACACTTGGTATTTTATACCTGAGTAGAGGGAGGCCGTAGAGAGAGAAGGAAGCCCTCCCTTTCCTTTGCAGGACTATCAGCTCCCCTGCTTGATGGAAGCATCATGCTCTTGGGGACATGTGTGCCACTATGTACTCAGTCAGTCATAGAGCAGCTACAGTAACACTATTCTATGGAAACTCTAAGAGACTCTAATTTAGCATCCATATATTACTTGAGATTTACTTAGCAAACTCCACATAATCCAGATTACCACTGAGCAGTGGTTCTTTAAGTGCACCTTCCATATGGTACAGCTATCCCAATATGGGTATATATCCAAAGATAATGAAATCATACCCAGGAGATACCTGCTATCATATAATCCTAGATTATAGCTCCCTTATTCACAATAGCCAAGATATGGGATCAGTCTAGGGGCCCATCAACAGACGATTGGATAAGGAAACTTCTGTTGTGCGTATACATGTGTGTGCACACACACAGTGGCACACAATGCAGAGTACTGTGTAGCCATGTAAAATAATCAAATCCATCATTTCCAGCAGGATGAATGGATGCAGGGCATTGTGTTAAGAGAAATAAGATAGACACAGAAAGACAAATACTACATGTTCTTGCTCATATGTGGAAGTTTAAAGAACAAATTGATCTCGATATAGAGTAGTGATTGCTAGAGGCTGAGGAGGGTGAGAGGGGAAATGGGACAGAGAAAGGTTGGATAACTGGTGCTAAACTGCAGAAGAAATAAGTTCTAGTGTTCTGCTGCCCTGTGGTGTAACTATAGTTCACAATAACCTGTTATGTAGCTGATTGATTTGATCAGTATGTGCTGTATGCATGGGTTGAAACATCACATTGTGTCCCATTCATGGGTACAATTAATGCACTATTCAAAAATAAAATTTTAAGGGGCTGGGGATTTAGCTCAGTGGCAAAGCGCTTGCCTGGCAAGCACAAGGTCGTGAGTTCGGTTCCCGGTACCGGAGAAAAACCAAAAAAAAATAAAAAAAAAAAAAAAAACAAAAATAAAATTTTAAACATAAATGACAAGGCACAAAACAAAAGCATGTGTTCCCTGACCAAGTAATGTCAGCAACAGCTGAAATTCCTGAAACTGTCACAAATGCAAATTATCAGTTCCCTCTGTGTCCTGCAACCTATTTAATCACAAACTCGGGAGGTGGCCTTCCCCCCTCCACTGCATCTATTCACATTACCTATCTGACTCTTGCATTTATTTGATGAACACATTTTTTGTATTTTTCTTAGCAAAAAATTCTTGGATACAATTTACTTAAACACATGTGCTCTTATGATTACTTTGCATATGAAAATATTAACAGTGACATTATGACATGTATTATATGAATAAAGAACCAAAGCTTTTACAAAGCCACATGCTAACTTATCAACAGTGCCCTTGTGAGTGTTTACAAGCTTGGTTAACAAAAAAAGAGTCTGCAGTAACCTATAGAGCACAAGTACTTTCAAAAGAGTGATATTCAGATCAGAGTTCATTGATAATATGCAATATACACAAACCGAGTGCATAAGTAGAATCTGAGCTGCAAAACAGTGCTTCATTCTGCCCTTCAAGAATCTTGGAGCTGACCTTTCCCTTGCCAAGCTGGGCAAATGATAACTAACATGAGAGTATTTTTCCAAAGCCTTTCGATTCAGAGGCTTACTTAGCATCTTGAAAGTTCAGAGCCCTCCCTTGACTATTGGCTGGATTTGGCTGGGGCCTACAATATGGGTTTAATCCCTGTGGGCACCAGTTCACTTATTTGGAACCAGACGCAGGATTGAATCCCCAGCCAGTCTCTGGCGTGCCTGCTGTTGGATCAAAGGCTTGGGCCAAGGATGGGTACGTGACTAATATTTCACATATTCTGCGATGATCAGTCCCAGGCATCCCTTTTGTTTCTGGAAAAATGAAATCAGATCTGTATAGCAAAACATGAATACCACATGTTCTGATAGTTAGGACCACTCTGGGAGGTCATCCTGATAAATTCTAAAAGCCTACCTTTCTTCTAGGGTTTTTGATGACGGCCGCTGCGTTTTGAACTGTCCCTCGTGGAAATTTGAATTTAAGAACCAATGCCTCCCATGCCACCGCACCTGCCATGGATGCCAAGGAAGTGGGCCTTACAACTGCACCTCCTGCAGGGCAGGTGAGCAGCTGCTTGCTCTGCGCTCCTCCACGGCCATCTTCGGATTGACTCAGGGGCCCCATCTCTGGGGTTGAGGGTTACAGCTGCACGGCTGCTCATTAGCAAGGCTGTGCAAGCTGGAATCTTTGCCCGTTGTCAGGATGTGAAAACCTCCTTCATCATCCTGGATGCTGACTTACTGCCACTGAGGAGATGACAGAGAGGTTATAAGGTGTCTTCCTGGAGAGCGAGAAAGAGGGGCACTTAAACATGATGTCAGGCAGGGGCATACAGCACAGCTGAGGTTTGCTGAGGTAAAAGTGAAGCGCTAGGAAAATAAGAACGACACATTTGGTCTTTAAAAGAGATAGAGTGTGAAAGGCCATGTCAGGGACTCCTCAGAGCTGACCAATGCTCTATTTAAAAGGTGTCAGAGCCCTGTGGTAGCAAGGTAATCATTTTAACCCACAGCAAATGTGACCTTTTGTGTCCCAATTTGAATTCTTCTCGAAATGTTCTGCCACCGCTGGATTACAGCCCATGGTCTCCAGAGGCCTCTGCAGTTTGACCCCTGACTCCTCCCAGCTCCTTCTCATGTGTCTGTCCTCTATTTGGGTCTCAAGTGAGCCAGAGCCATATTTTATCTGGCTTTGATAATACATTGTAAATTTGAGCCAAATCTCAATGTTGGAAAATTTCAAATAAAAACTTGGGATTTTTGTTTCTGTGGAACCCATGGAGGATCTGGCAACGATGGGCCTGTGTTTCCCAAAGAGTTGGCAGGGGGGCTGAAGAGGCCGCTGCCCGCTTCTCCCCAGTCCCCGCCGTTCCTAGCTGTCTTGCTGACCCTGGGGCCTTTAGTTAGCATCATCCTCATCGCACGTCATTTCTCTGATAGAGGAGAATTATTTCTTCTTCTATTTTTTTTTTTAGTACATGAAGGGGAGCTGGGAGGTCAGTGTCTCAGGATGGGCAGAGACAAAGACACCCCAAGCCAGCCACAATTTATTGGGTGTGTACAATGATAGGAGGAGCTAGCAGAAGATTCAGGGTCAGAGGAAGTCTCAGAGGTCAGTGACTTATTGGGAAATAGATAATCCTGGGCGGAGATGATCTCATGCTGAGAAGGATCTTGCCCTGGAGTGTTTTGTCTTTTTTTTTTTGTTTTTTTAATTTTAGTGGTTTTAGTTTAGTCTTAGTGGGTGGGAGAGGATGGCCCATCCCTAAAGAGATAAGGGGAAATCTCAAAATGGTGATAGGGATAATCCTAAACCTCTGTTTATCCTTTGGGGAAGTCTGTGAAATTAGCCATTGTGAATTTGTGGTCCCCAACATATCCCTCTTCTCATTTTTTTATAATTACAGCAGTTGAAACAGCATACAGGATATGATAGCTATTATAGCAACAAACGTATTCTCAGGAGTTTGTGGGAGGCCCTGTCACATCACCAGGGTGTGAGCCTCCTGCTTTGTCTTTTTCAGTTGTCCCCATGTCATGGGTTTTGGTGGGGTTTTATTTTTGGTGTTATTTTTTTTTTATTTTTAAAGATAAGGAATGAAAACATATTAACAAACAAACAGGCATAAAGAAAACAACACCCAACCAGTAGAAACAACACAGAGTTTCAGACAAGGTGATAGAAAATTAACAATAAATATTGTATTGCATATTGTCCACATTGTTATCTTCAAATTAGTTACTCAGTTAAACAAATATAGGCATTTAAGGTTGATCAAACAATTAAACATTAACTGTTCTTTTCAGTAAAGCAATAGAAGTCAGTAGTACGACTCTCTCAGTTACTCTGTGTGTGTATATATATTTTTTTCCTTCTTCATTTTTCTCTTTTCCCTCATCCTAGTTGTTCCCTCTCTTTGAACAATTTCTTTCCCTTTCACAATATCTATTATACTTTCAGATTTTATTTACTCTTTCAGGTTCCTACACTAGTGAGACCATACAGTATTTACACATGTGGTCTGATTTATTTGACTTATGAGTATGGACTCTAGTTGCATCCATTTACCTATGAAATCCTCAAGTTTATCTTTTTTATAGCTGAGTAATATTCCATTATGTAAAAATACCACATCTTTTTTATCCATTTCTCAGTGGATGGGCATTTGGGTTGCTTCCACAATTTAGCTATTACAGATTTGAGAAGCTATAAACATGGGTGCACATATATCACTGTGGTATGATGTTTGTAGTTCTTCTGGAAAAATACCCAAAAGGGAAATAGCTGAGTTGAATGGGATCTCTAGACCTAGTTTACTGAGGAATCTCCAGACTGATTTCCATAGGGGTTGCACCAGTCTACACTCGAACCAACAGTGGAGGAGGGTTCCTTTTTCCCCACAGTCTCTCCAGTATTTGTTATTGGTTGATTTCTTGATGATAGCCATTCTCTCTGGAGTGAAATGAAATCTCACTGTTGTTTTAATTTGCATTTCTTGAATGACTAATGATGTTGAACATTTTTTCATGTATTTATTTGCCATTTGTATTTCTTTATCTGAGAAGTGTGTATTCATCTCAAGTGCCCATTTTTGGATTGGGTCTTTAAATTTGAGGGGGGCTGATTTTTTTTTTTTAGGTCTTTATATATTTTAGATAGAAGTTCTTTGTCTGAGGATCAGTTGGCTAAATATTTTTCCCAATTTGTGGGTATTCTTTTTACTCTGTTGGTGATTTCTCTAGATGTGCAAAAACTTTTTAATAAGATGAGATCCCAGTTGTTGATTCTTTGAAGTATTTCCCATGCAGTTTGGATTTTGTTCATGAACTCTTTGCCTACCCCTATGTCTTCAAGATTTTTACCTACTTTCTCTTCCAGTAGATTTAGTGTTTCTGTTTTGATATTTAAATCTTTGATCCATTTTGATTTGAGTTTGTTACATGT